CTGGTGTAGGAAACAAAAGGGGGGAAAAGTTTTATCTAACGTTTGGTGGAAAAGAAACCCATAACTCCAAAGTTGCAGGCAACTTTCTATGTTTACGTTTCCATCTGCCGTGACTTAGGGTGCATCTGCACTGTAGAATTAACGCAGTTTCATACCCCTTTAATTGCCATTGCTCAATGCTAGAGCACCCTAGGATTTGTAGTTTAGTGAGGCCCCAAGCACTCTGTTTAACTCCAAAGTTGCAGGCAACTTTCTATGGTTACGTTTCCATCTGCCATGACTTAGGGTGCATCTGCACTGTAGAATTAATGCACACATGTCAACTGAAAAGGCAAATTACACAAAGGCCACATCTGCCCTCCTTGTGGACTAAATCTCAATGAGAACATATTTAATTGAAGGTGTACTAGTGAATGCAACCTGTAATTATACAGAAAATAACAGTTTTGGATTCATCTATGGAACTTGTTGCCTTGGGAAGTTGTAAAGCTGACAAGCATGGTTGGCATGACACAAAGATTAGCAAAATTAACTAAATACTATAAAATATTTTGATCCTACGGGTAAATAACTAAATCCCGTAGGATCTCGCTGTGGCTGACAGTAGAAAAGAAAATGCTTCCAGCTGCTCTTCCCGGAATACTCCATCCCATTGGCCCTTTCTGTACCAATAAAGTATTTCCGTTCCTCTAGGACTATTTTGGGGTTAACTCCCTCATAACTTTCCCCTTTTTTGGCACATTTCTGCAAACATGAGGTTTGTCGGCATCTGTTCTTTCTCCCCCACACCTCCAGTCCTGTTTTGGCTACAGAAGGATCCATATCCAGCAGATGAAAGAATGAATACATAGGATGGAATGCCTACATTCAGGGGTAACTGCTGAGTATTTCCTTGGAAGCATGAAGCAATTGTCTAGAGACAGCAGAGTATTTACATCAGAACTGTGTGTTAGTATGGTTCTCCCCAAAAGCTATCCATAGTTTGGAGACACAACAACATGCCTTTAATACAATGGTTCCCAACCTGTGGTCCGTGGATCACAAGAACTAAAATATGATCACTGGTCAAGTGGTCCCTGGTCAAAAAAAGTTGGGAACAACTGCTTTAATATGACCCAACTTGGCAATTATCTTCCCAAAACCTAAAACCCTTAAGCAAATAGTTGAAGGGTAGCAATTCTGGACAATTGTAATTTGGGAAGCTCATGGCGTACAGAATGATTGTTTCCCTTTCGGAGAGCAAGAGATCATCTCCAAACAATGCACTTCCCAAAAGAGACTAACAATGCAGCAGTTGTGCGAATCCATATCAAGAAGCCAGTTCTAGCACCGCTCAGGGCAGATCTTTTGTAGGATGGAATGGTCTTTGTCCTCATTCAAAACAAAGCCACTTCCAAATATGTTTCATTGTTGACATAATAATAATAATAATAAGAAGAAGAAGAAGAAGAAGAAGAAGAAGAAGAAGAAGATGATGACAACGATGATTCTGGCACATCTAGTCAAGATGGTCCCAGTGGTGATCGGCAAACTGGGTGTAGTGCCTAAAAACCTTGGCCTGCACTTAAACACAATTGGCGCTGACAAGATTATCATCTGCCAACTGCAAAAGGCCACCTTACTGGGATCTGCACACATTATTCACTGGTACATCACACAGTCTTAGACACTGAACATTAGGAAGAACTTCCTGACTGTGAGAGCTGTTCAACAGTGGGACTCTCTGCCCCAGAGTGTGGTGGAGACTTCTTCTTTGGAAGCATTTAAACAGAGGCTGGATGGCCATCTGTCGGGGGTGCTTTGAATGCAATTTTCCTGCTTCTTGGCAGGGGTTTGGACTGGATGGCCCAGGAGGTCTCTTCCAATTCTATGATTCTATAATTCTATGATCTTCTACAATGTGGTCTTAACCAGTTAGTAAAATGGGAAAACCAAGCAAAAAACAAAATCCTGCCCATGTTAAACATGTGAATCGTATCACATTGTGGTTGACCCTAGAGATTTCCCGAGAAAATCATAATTAGAGCCAAGGACACATCTTCATTTGCGACATTCTTTTAGCCATTACACTTGCCCAGAAAAGTGAATGGAAACTAACCTCTAATGATGAAGCTATGCAAGCTATGCAAAGTGGACTTGAAGAAAGTAAAAAAGTGAATATTTACTCAATGGAGAAGCCACTGAACCCTGGAAGACCAAAGTCAAAAACTGGAAATAAACAGACTCAACGAACTGAGTATTTAAAAACGAGAGGGACATTTCCAACATGTTGTTATGAATCAACTTGTATGATAAAACAGAACATTGGTAAACAATCTGTTTACACAATGGGAAGATACATTCCGTGCAGTTAGGGAAAACAATTCTTTCCCAATTTCCACTGTAAAAGGTGCAAAATCCATTCCAAAACGTGACGGGCCAATGATGAGATCTAAATATACAACCCGGCATTCTATTTTTAGCTCCCAAACTGACAGCTACGAACGATGAGGCTCGAGTGAAGCAATGCAGAGAACACGTCAGGACACAATGTACACCCCCCCCCACCCACCCCCAACCTCAGCAGATAATTCTACTGTATCCCTCCATATGGTGAGCTGTTGTTGTTGTTTTTTTCATTAACTACAAACATGTGGTTTGCACTGCAGACAAACATATGTTGCTGTTACTATTATTAGCTAGGTTTTTATCATCGTTTGTACCACAGAAGCACTAAAAGTTCATAACTCAGCTTTGGGACGCATAAACAGGCACATGTGCTGTACGTGGGTTATGAAAATGGAGGGGGGGGGGGTACTTTGAAAACAACAACATTTTCTTGAATGCCAAAGATCCCAGGTTTTGTCCCATCATCATTTTTTTTCTTTTTGTCTTGGTCTTTAGGCCACCGGGACTGTGGCACAGCTGGCTGGGAGTCAGCTGCAATTATTATTATTATTATTATTTTATTATTATTATCATTAGGAATGGTTGTTGTAGGTTTTTTCGGGCTATATGGCCATGTTCTAGAGGCATTTCTCCTGACGTTTCGCCTGCATCTATGGCAAGCATCCTCAGAGGTAGTGAGGTCTGTTGGAAGTAGGAAACTGGGTTTATATATCTGTGTGCCAAGTTTGATCCAGATCCATCTTGTCTCACCAAATGCACCACCAAACGCAGCATTGCCCAGACACGAATCAAGGAACATGAAAGGCACTGTAGACTCCTTCAGCCAGAGAAATCAGCCATAGCAGAGCACCTGATGGACCAACCTGGACACAGCATATTATCTGAGAACACAGAAATGCTGGACCACTCTCACAACCACCATGTCAGACTACACAGAGAAGCCATTGAAATCCACAAGCATGTGGACAATTTCAACAGAAAGGAGGAAACCATGAAAATGAACAAAATCTGGCTACCAGTATTAAAAAACTCTAAAATTGCAACAGCACAACAACAGAGAGGAAGCAGGCAGGGACATCTAATTACCTCTCAACAAAAGTTTGCCCCAGGCACAGTCAGGCCATTGTATGCTAATCAAGCTGGTCAGTTGAAACATTCACACCTAGCTCCAGCAGACAAGAGTCCTTTGTCCCACCCTGGTCATTCCACAGATATATAAACCCTTTTTCCTAGTTCCAACAGACCTCACTACCTCTGAGGATGCTTGCCATAGATGCAGGCGAAACGTCAGGAGAGAATGCCTCTAGAACATGGCCATATAGCCCAAAAAAACCTACAACAACCCAGTGATTCCAGCCATGAAAGCCTTCGACAATACATAATTATTATTAATAATAATAATACCCCGCCACCATCTCTCCAATGGGGACTCGGAGCGGCTTACATGGGGCCAAGCCCGGACAACATGTTACAGCAAAATAAAACCAAAACATAAACAACAAGCAACATCATCAAAATTACATAGGGAAAAAAAGTATAAACACAGTAACAAAATAACATTCCAATAAGCACAATCATGATAACAGTAGGCGGGTCACACGCACAGGATAAAATGATTAAAAGACTCTAATAAGATCAAAATAGGAGCAAGTTATTTGCAGGGAGTTCATAAAAACACACAGGGTTGTGAAACTAAACTTTCCATTTGAAGGGCATGTACTCCAGTGGCATTAAGATCACTACTGACTAAAAGGTCATGAGTTCGAAGCCAGCCCGGGTCGGAGTGAGCTTCTGACCATCTGTGTAGCTTGCTGTTTACCTTTGCAGCCCAAAAGACAGTTGCATCTGTCAAGTAGGAAATTTAGGTACCGTTTATGCAGGGAAGCTAATTTAACTAATTTTCAATGCCATAAAATCTCCAGCAAGCAAGCAAAAGAATGAGGAAGTACTCCATCAGTGTCACAAATGGATGGTGAAGCGATAGCTCCCCTGGTGGCCAGAATACCCTCATGAAGCTGGAATGTTAAATAGCCTCTGTGTGTCTGGCTATATATGTTGTGTGTCTATGGCATTGAATGTTTGCCATGTATATGTCCATTGTAATCCGCCATGAGCCTTGCCATTTGGGAGTTGTAGTTGCTGGAATTTGTAGTTCACCTACAATCACAAAGCATTCTGAACCCCACCAACGATAGAATTGGGCCATACCTCCCACACAGAACCCCCATGACCACCAGAGTGGGCCACAGCAACGCGTGGCAGGGGATGGCTATCAAAAGGAAAGGTTTCCCCAGACATTAAGTCCAGTTGTGTCAGACTCTGGGATAGTTTCTCATCTCCATATCTAAGCTGAAGAGCCAGCGTTGTCCGTAGACACCTCCAAGGTCATATGGCCAGCATGACTGCTGTGATATAATGGAACCTCTCACTTTCCTTGTGCTTTCCAGCAGGATACAAAGTCAAAGGATGGTTACTTATCTGGACTGCGAATCCCAGACTCCCCCCAGGCACCATGGTCGAGAAAATAACTTCCAAGCAGTGAGATACAACAGAGTTGTTTCAGATTCCCTGACAACTCTAAAGAGCTACACAAAGTTGCCAGTTTCACTCACCTTGATACACCGTCCAAAAATAAAAGAGTGGCTGATCATCAGTCCCATTCCATATTCGTTTGTGGGAAGATGCTGCCATGCAGTGCTTTACGCTTGACTGTTGATAATAAATGTCTCCTGCAACAGGGTAAATTTTGGGTATATGTATGTAATGTATCCAGTTTCCCCTGAAAATGAAAAAAGAAGGGGAAAGGAGGTTAAAGCAGGCAAAATGGAAGAGAGTATAAGAGCTATCCTTGGGCGGCTGAGGTGGGAAAGGAAGGGGCCTGAGGCTGTTAGGAATTGTGGGAGTTGAAGTCCAAAACACCTGGAGGGCCCAAGTTTGCCCATGCCTGTTTTACAGTCGTGCAAAAGCGACGACAGTTCAGCTTGCAGTGAAACCATGGAACACTCATAGATTCCTAGAATCAAAGATTTGGAAGAAACCACCTGGGCCACCCAGTCCAACCCCATTCTGCCAAGAAGCAGGAATATTGCATTCAAAGCACCCCTGACAGATGGCCATCCAGCCTCTGTTTAAAAGCTTCCAAAGAAGGAGCCTCCACCACACTCCGGGGCAGAGAGTTCCAATGCTGAACGGCTCTCACAGTCAGGAAGTTCTTCCTCATGTTCAGATGGAATCTCCTCTCTTGTAGTTTGAAGCCATTGTTCCATTGCGTCCTAGTCTCCAAGGAAGCAGAAAACAAGCTTGCTCCCTCCTCCTCCCTGTGGCTTCCTCTCACATATTTATACATGGCTATCATATCTCCTCTCAGCCTTCTCTTCTTCAGGCTAAACATGCCCAGCTCCTTAAGCCGCTCCTCATAGGGCTTGTTCTCCAGACCCTTGATCATTTTAGTCGCCCTCCTCTGGACACATTCCAGCTTGTCAATATCTCTCTTGAATTGTGGTGCCCAGAATTGGACAGGTGTGGTCTAACCAAAGCGGAATAGAGGGGTAGCATGACTTCCCTGGACCTAGACATTATGCTCCTATTGATGCAGGCCAAAATCCCATTGGCTTTTTTTGCCGCCACATCACATTGTTGGCTCATGTTTAACTTGTTGTCCACGAGGACTCCAAGATCTTTTTCACACGTACTGCTCTCGAGCCAGGCATGTCCCCCATTCTGTATCTTTGCATTTCATTTTTCCTGCCAAAGTGGAGTATCTTGCATTTGTCACTGTTGAACTTCATTTTGTTAGTTTTGGCCCATCTCTCTAATCTGTCAAGATCGTTTTCAATCCTGCTCCTGTCCTCTGGAGTATTGGCTCTCCCTCCCAATTTGGTGTTGTCTGCAAACTTGATGATCCTGCCTTCTAGCCCTTCATCTAAGTCGGGGTAGGGAACCTTTGGCCCTCCAGCTGTGGTGGACTTCAACTCCCACAATTCCTTGAGGCTCGGCATTCGCCCCAAAGGCTTACCTTGGCCCAATGCCGAGCCTCAAGGAATTGTGGGAGTTGAAGTCCACCACAGCTGGAGGGCCAAAGGTTCCCTACCCCTGATCTAAGTCATTAATCAAGATGTTGAACAGGACCGGGCCCAGGACGGACTCATCACTCATGCATTCATTTGGCCATTCTGTATAAGGCACACCCACTTTACCCAGGCATTGTATATAATGGGACCTGAGTATCTACAAATTTTGATATCTATGGGGAGTTATGGAACCAAAAGGCATAAGCCCTTAGCCAGGGCCAACAACCCAGCTGTGAAACTACAGCTCAAAAATTTTCAGGCAGTGAAGTGTTCTCAGCAAACAACTTCCCGGAATGCATACTACCTTGAAAAGTCTGTCCAGAACAAGTAGTGGAAGGTTACAATTTGAAAAAACCAAAAAATTAATTGCTTTAGTAGCTTTTTTGGCTCCTGATCCATTTGCAAAACACTTATGACTCAGGGATCCTATGAAAGTTCTGGGTAACAGCTGCAATGCGAAAACACCACTCTGACTGCTTCTTCTGAGAAGAGACCTCGCCATGGATTGATTTTCAGTTTCAGTGTACCATTGGTCTCTCTGAATGCCTTAAAAAGTGGTAAAACAGGAATGGGTAAAGACTAAGAGTAACTCAGAGAAAACAACTAGCACTTGGCACTCTCCAGCTCCTCTGCATATGGTATTTGAAAGGCTGTCCAAAGGAAAGGGAGCAGGCTCGTTTCTGCTGCCCTGGAGACTAGATCCAAATGGAACCATGGGTTCAAACGACAGGAGAAGAGATTCCACCCGAACATTAGGAAGAACTTTTTTCCTAGTTCCAACAGACCTCAAAACCTCTGAGGGTGCTTGCCTTAGATGCAGGCGTAACGTCAGGAGAAAATGCTACCCCTCTATTCTGTTTTGGTTAGACCACATCTGGAATATTGTGTCCAATTCTGGGCACCACAATTCAAGAGAGATATTGACAAGCTGGAATGTGTCCAGAGGAGGGCGACTAAAATGATCAAGGGTCTGGAGAACAAGCCCTATGAGGAGCGGCTTGAAGGAGCTGGGCATGTTTAGCCTGAAGAAGAGAAGGCTGAGAGGAGATATGATAGCCATGTATAAATATGTGAGAGGAAGCCACAGGGAGGAGGAGGGAGCAAGCAAGCTTGTTTTCTGCTTCCTTGGAGACTAGGACGCAATGGAACAATGGCTTCAAACTACAAGAGAGGAGATTCCATCTGAACATTAGGAAGAACTTCCTGACTGTGAGAGCCATTCAGCAGTGGAACTCTCTGCCCCGGAGTGTGGTGGAGGCTCCTTCTTTGGAAGCTTTTAAACAGAGGCTGGATGGCCATCTGTCAGGGGTGATTTGAATGCAATATTCCTGCTTCTTGGCAGAATGGGGGTGGACTGGATGGCCCATGAGGTCTCTTCCAACTCTTTGATTCTATGATTCTATGAATGCTTCTAGAACATGGCCCTATAGCCTGAAAAACCTACAACACCCCAGTGATTCCAGCCATGAAAGCCTTCGACAATACATTGAACATCTCTACGGGGAGAAACTGTTCCAAGACACACGAAAATTGTAAAAACTAAGGACCAGGAAAGCACATCTACTGTGACATTCCACAGATATATAAACCCATTTTCCTAGTTCCAACAAACCTCACAACCTCTGAGGATGCTTGCCATAGATGCAGGCGAAACGTCAGGTGAGAATGCTTCTAAAATATGGCCATATAGCCTGAAAAACCTACAACAACCCCGTGATTCCAGCCATGAAAGCCTTTGACAATACATTAGGAAGAACTTCCTGATTGTAAGAAGAGCTGCTCAAAGGTGGAACTCTGTCCCTCAAAGTCTGATGGAAGGTCCTTCCTCGGAGGCTTGTAAACAGAGGCTAGATGGCCATCTGCTAGGGGTGCTTTGATTGTGCTTGCATGGCGTAAGCAGGTTGGACTGGATGGCCCATGTGGTCTCTTCCAACGCTGTTATTCTATGATTCTACATCTCCACGCATTCTATATCAAGGGAAAAGGGTAAGCTGTCATTATCCAAAGCTTCCAAAGACAATTAAACTTTGGGTTGCTGTGAGTTTTTTGGGCTGTATGGCCTTGTTTCAGAAGCATTCTCTCCTGACATTTCACCTACATCTATGGCAGGCATCCTCAGAGGTTGTGAGGTCTGTTGGAAACTAGGAAAGTGAGGTTTATATATCTCTGGAATAATGTCCAGGGTGGGAGAAATATTTATTTATTTACAATATTTATAGCCCACCTTTCTCAGCCATACGGCAACTCAAGGCAGGTTACAGATTGGCACAATTCGATGCCAGGCATTCATAAAAGTGCCATTAAAAACAATCAACATTACAATATAAAACATAAATAAAAACCATTAAAGCATATAATCATTGGTGTCATCCTGTTAAAAACGTTATCCAGTAACATCGTCTGGCCATTCCATGTTCATCATTCATAGTTCTGTGTTATCTATTCCGCTGCATTCTCAAAAGCTTGCTCAAAGAGCCAGGTCTTTACTTTTTTTCGGAAAGTCAGGAGGGAGGGGGCCAATCTAATATCCCTGGGGAGGGAGTTCCATAGCTGGGGGCCACCACTGAGAAGCCCCTGTCCTTCGTCTCTGCCAATCGCACTTATAGAATCATAGAATCAAAGAGTTGGAAGAGACCTCCTGGGCCATCCAGTCCAACCCCATTCTATCAAGAAGCAGGAATATTGCATTCAAATCACCCCTGACAGATGGCCATCCAGCCTCTGTTTAAAAGCTTCCAAAGAAGGAGCCTCCACCACACTCCGGGGCAGAGAGTTCCACTGCTGAATGGCTCTCACAGTCAGGAAGTTCTTCCTCATGTCCAGATGGAATCTCCTCTCTTGTAGTTTGAAGCCATTGTTCCGCGTCCTAGTCTCCAGGGAAGCAGAAAACAAGCTTGCTCCCTCCTCCCTGTGGCTTCCTCTCACATATTTATACATGGCTATCATATCTCCTCTCAGCCTTCTCTTCTTCAGGCTAAACATGCCAGCTCCTTAAGCCGCTCCTCATAGGGCTTGTTCTCCAGACCCTTGATCATTTTAGTCGCCTCTCCTCTGGACACATTCCAGCTTGTCAATATCTCTCTCGAATTGTGGTGCCCAGAATTGGACACAATATTCCAGGTGTGGTCTAACCAAAGCAGAATAGAGGGGTAGCATTACTTCCCTAGATCTAGACACTATGCTCCTATTGATGCAGGCCAAAATCCCATTGGCTTTTTTTGCCGCCACATCACATTGTTGGCTCATGTTTAACTTGTTGTCCACGAGGGCTCCAAGATCTTTTTCACACGTACTGCTCTCGAGCCAGGCATCCCCCATTCTGTATCTTTGCATTTCGTTTTTCCTGCCAAAGTGGAGTATCTTGCATTTGTCACTGTTGAACTTCATTTTGTTAGTTTTGGCCCTTCATCTCTCTAATCTGTCAAGATCGTTTTGAATCCTGCTCCTATTCTGAAATAACTCTTGTCTGCTTGAGGCACGTGTGAATGTTGCAATTGGCGACCTTGATTAGCATTTAAGGGCCTTGCAGCTTCAAAGCCTGGCTTGAGCAACTGAGAGGGGAAAGGAAAGAGCCTGAGACTGTAAGGCATTATGGGCGTTGAAGTCCAAAACACCTGGAGGGCCCAAGTTTACCTATGCCTGGTTAAATGATGATTAAGTTATACTTAAAGAAGCCTTGCTCAGGTCTAAATTGGTCCAATTAACAGCA